AAATTTACAATAATCCTGTGTAATAGGAAGCAGCAGTGAAAGAAGTACATGCAGCTTTCTTGAACAGCAAAACTTGTCTCTTCATCCCCACCTTTCACAGGCTGCAGTATGAATCAATGTGTTCAAAATCAAGGGCTCCTAGGCCTTTCTTCCCCTCCTCTATTTGCATTGCAAATAAAATCATAGCTTAGTTGCTGGGGAGATAAGTGTCAAGACCAAGTTGTGAGTTACTTAAACTGCTGTGAATTGTGGCAGAAATAATGCATGGTGCTGGGTCTTGCCTATGTCTAACTAAACCCAGCTGCTGCTTGTTGAGGTTTGGGTTATTTTGCTTTCCAGGACACTGTGATGGAATAGGCTAGTTGAAGACTGTGCTCTTAAGTTCAAACCTTAGCTGGCAGGGCAGACTGGTTGTAATATCATCTCTAGAGTGGTTTGGTTGTGCTTTTGAATTTTGTCTCTGAAAAGTGTTCAGTATTCTGATGGATGTTGATTAGTCAGCATGCACATGTATATGTTTAAAGTCTTAAAATTAATCTTGTTTCAATGCTAGTTAATTTTTGAACAAGACTAAAGGCCACGTGTTAGAAGCAAAGTGCATCCTGTGCTAGGGAACATTGACCTAGAATGACCTGACATTCTCCAGGATGAGAATGTGCACACAACCAGTTTCATTGTAGCAGCTGCTGCCATGCAGAATCTTTGTGCATGGCTTACCTCAAGACAAATGACTTACTTTCCTGTACATAGAGTAGAAGTAGTTATCTTGGCATCACACTGTCTTCTGGCCAGTCTGTGTGGCGCAGGAGCACAGACAGTGGAATCTTGCAGACTGGGGTTGGTGCTGTTGGCCGGGCTGTAAGTTCCACACTAAGATGTCTTTTGCTTCATGTTGTCATAGGTGTGTTCAACACATAGCATTGGGATGCAACACATGAGTTTGGGTTCATGCTTTTCATGCTGTTGTTTTTTTTTTTTGATCTCTTCTTCAGCTTGCCAGGTAGCTCTGATGCTCCTGGGCCATGGGGTTTTAGCAGCTGTAGGCTAGCACTGTTGGTGAAAGTGATTGAATTCTTGCACCTGTAAACAAACCCACCACTCCCTGGTTGTCTAAATTCATCCAAGTATAGGAAGCTTGAAGTCCATGTAAAAAGCAATGTTAAAAGAACCTGTGAGAGGATTGATGCATTATATCTACTTGGGAAGGAGGAGAGCTGTGATTTGGTGAGCCATTTTATGAACCATAGGAAAATAAAGCCACCTTAATCTCCTCCCGAGTTCACCTGCAATCTCCATCTGTGCACCGAGGCTTTCAATACCAGGCTGGGTAACACCCTGAGCTGGCCCTTCTCTGTGTAGAAGGTCAGACCATGAACCGTCAAAGATTCCTTCCAGCATGAATTTTCATCCCATTTCTTTTGCTGAGAATCTGATACCACATGTCCACGTGCACATGAATGTTCCAGTTCTGGTAATAATATCACCTCAGAGCACTGGAGCTATATGATATCAATGCCCTTCCTTGGCAAGGGATGACTGAGATGAAAGTGGAAATAAGCCTTCCTAAAATTTCCCCTTTCAGATTTCCATATATGAGAGCAATGCATTTCAACTCAAAGAGGACATTAGTTCAGTGGTACGTCTTACAAACTTTATGGATTTGGGTTTTTTCTTACATAAATGCAGCTTAGATTTGAAGGCAGGGAAGAAGGGGAAAAGATGATAGAAAGGTGAAGAGGCAGAGATGAATCATTGGGAAAACGAGAGGAGGTGAATTGAAGCCATGCCTTTATGCAGGAGAGAAAAGCAGCATTTCTATACATAAAAAGTTACTTCCTCTGAAGTGGGTAGAATTTGTTCTTTTAGAGAAGGATAATCTGGGAACATGTCTCAAAATCTTGAGCCTGGGCCGTACTCTATTAGGAAACTCTGCACTGTATGAGAAGCTACTGCAGTGTATAGGTATGTATCTATTTAAATTTGGGCACCTGTTTAATATGAGAAAAATCTTAGTATAGGTAAGCTTTAAGCTGGTATTCTTTTACCACAGCTAATTGTGAAAAATACCTGAGTCCCTTTAATTAGCCAGTTAACAAGAAAGCATCTTGCATTAATTAATTGGAATCTAGTTCTGTCTTAGCAATAGCTCCACTTTTCTTGCTAAGCACAGTGGACTTTAGTGGCTTTCCGACACATTGTGGAAACCGAGTTGAATTTAAATTGTGTATTGTGCTTCAAAGTTCTTTTCTGTGCCGGTAACTGGAGGATGGACAAGAGTTAGTGGAATTTGTGCTCTTTGTACTTGTCAAGTCTTACCCAACTGCACCCTAAGCAAATCTTACTGTTGGGGCTTTGTACTGTGAGAACTGTATGCAAGAGTAGGGAACATTGTTTTTCTTCTATTCTTCCCCTTGTATATTGGGTTTACAGTCTGCTTGCTCTAATTTTTCTTGTTACTACATTTCTGTGGTAGGGGAGAATAGCCCAGTTTGGATTCTGTAGAAGATTTTGTATTTGAATGACATCAGGTCAGTGCATACAGTATTAGAGAACCATGACTAAAGTCACATCATGTGAGTCATTTTTCCTTCTAGCCCTTTACAAGTAATGCAGTGTAGCATAGTATCTGTTTTAACTGTGTATTGCTGGATACTTATTGTGGCAAGAATCCTTTTGGAGATGTTCCTTCCCCTGTCTCTGATCAGCCCCAGCTCTGTTTTTCTGACTTCCATGGATGGGCATGTTTGTTGTCAGTACCTGATGCTGGCAGAGGCTGCTTGCTTTCCTCCCCTGTGTCAGAGCTTAGAGATAGTGACTCCTTGCAGTGGGCTGTAGCATGTATGTAAATGGCTTTTTATCAGCCTGTTCTATCTGTGTGACATCTCCCATGGTAAACACCCCTGTACAGACTGTGTTAAGATGGCTCTTGCAGCTTGATTAAATGTGCCTTGTATATGAATGTCAGTAGATTGTACTGGGTTTTTTTGCAGGGCCCTCAGCCCTAAGGGGAATGAAATTTAGACATTTTAAAATTTATTTTCACTTTAGGAGAATGACTAGAAATTCAGAGGTAGATAAAACTGAGACATATGTAAGAAGAATGTTTGTAGGTTATTTGCTCTGATTGTAGCACTGGATACTTTTGGTTTATTCTTTTGCTGTAGAGAGAGTTAATGAGCATTTTTTTCCTTCCCTTGTTACACAGTTATAGGGTTGGAAAATGGAAGCATTGAAATAATAGGAAAACAACCCATGATATAGACAGAGACTTCATAGATGAGCCACAGGTAAAATCAGTTATAGCTGTACAAGATGTTCATCAGAAGGAAGAAGACACAGATTGGGCTTTAGTTAAAAGCAGCAAAATGACTCTCATCCCTGTCCCACACATTCTGTCAGTTTGAAGTAAATTCAGTCCTTCTGTTATACTGTGGTCTATATTTTCAGAGATGAAAGGTATGATTGTGTGTTCCTCCAAGATACAGATCTTTGAGGGAACACACTGTGTACTTCTGACTTGGGACAGGACAGAAGGAGTGTGCACCACCTTGAGCTTGAACCAGGGAGGCCTTTTCTCAACCCACTGAGCTAACTGCTTATACCTGGCTCAAATGTAAGACATGAGATAGGGAAGCTCCTCACAGAGTAACCAAGGGGACAAAACAAATGTTGAACATTAGAAGTAAACAAAGCTAAGACTGCCTAGGAACCTCAGGCTCCTCCAGCACGAGCACCCAGACAGTATTATATATCATGGGGAAGCCTGGCTGCCCATTGCTGCCTCACAGCAGTTTATTGCCAAGACTCCTGGAATGAGCAGGCTGAGGTGCTGTGGCCCTTGAACTGTAGAAGTCCAGGAAAGCATGGCTGATGCCTGTGGTGTGTCCTCACAAATCCCCTGCCACATGCTGCAACAGCTAAAATTACTTTATTGAAGAGCTGTCTGGACAGCTGAATTATTTTCTTCTTTTGTCACCTCTGTGGATCTGTGTCAGGAACACTAGAATTTTGTATTACATCTTACATATTTGTCATTGTTATTAGGGAATGTTGTTATAGATAAAATTAATTGGAAAGCATGTGCTGAACTTTTTGCAACCTGTGTTGGGTTACTGAGTGTTGGTGGAGTTGTGGTTGGTGAAGATCCAAGTTTTCAGTCGGTGTCTTGTAGAGATCTAGTGTGGCATAAGAACCTGTACCAATTAGAGTAAAACTGGTATATGAATGTGTGGCCTATCCAATTAGATTTAAAGATATAAAGGATGTCATAGTGTGATGCCAGACAAGGGTCTGATAGTAGAAATTTTTAGTGTAGGCACCAGTAGCTGTGCATCTTCAATTAACAGACTGTGTTTAGATAATGGTACAAGAATGAAGTTCATTAGTACAAAACCCAGGGTTTTTTCCTTGCTCTGGAAAGGGAGTGATCCTGTGGTTAAGAGTCTCTTATGCCCTGCCAAGAGCTTGCTGTGTGTCCTTGAGCAATCTGCATGTGCTCAGATTTTCCAAGAATGGCCTCAGATTTTCCAACTTTTTTTCTGTATCATTTTCCAGTTAGGGATTTTGTTTGTTTGTTTTCTCCCCTAAACACTGCTGTTTATTGATAACTTCACTTGAAGTAGCAGATGCCTAGAAATGATCAAGTTCAGTGTCAGGCTGGCACTGAATTGAAGCACCCAAGATCTATAGCCGTTGCTGGAAATTCAGGCCTTATTTTCCCTGTTTGCTGATTCCTAACAGAGGGATTGTGTGTCCTGTCTTCATAAAGTATTTGAAAAGCACGGTAGGAGTGTTCACTGGCACTGTGTGTTAGAGCACCATGACAAAGATGCCTTGCATGTATAGGAATTGTATTTTCATGGGAGTAGTGTCTTGAAAGTCATCAAATCGAGAGGGAAAACACATGTGGAAAAGCCTTCCTGTCAGCTGGTAAGTTAAGAATAATATGGCCATACTGCTGTTGGTGGGCCTCAGTTAAAGAAGATATTGTCATATTTCAGGTTTGTCATTGGAGCACTCAACGAACTCAATTGCCTCGCATGCTCGACTGTGTGAAAGGGAGGAGGAAGTTGTGGCTTGTTTTGAGAGAGCGTGTGTTACTGCCCAAGTGTACTTGCAGGAGCTTGAGAAGGTAAGAAGAAATGTGCTTAGGGTATTTCCTGGTGGTCTGGGTGGAATTTCCAGGGTTTTGACAGCAAAAATAAAAAAAATGGAGAAATGTCAAGTGATTATAGCAAGGAATATGAGAACAAGTTGGAAAGAGTGAGGTGTCTCAGTAAAATAATTAGCAAAAGTAGTAGGTTAGCTGGGCTCTACCTTTTTCCTCTGAGAATGAAGTCTGGAAATAAATTTTGCCTGGGGTAAAGTACCAAATACTTCAGATATGCACAAACTGCCTCTCAGGTTCAGCCCTTACTAAGGTGGAACCATGAACTTTGCATGGCAAGGGCTGGTGTGAAGGAACTCAAGACATTTTACATACCTGCTGTGTCAATGATACACAGCAGTGGCTATTGAGGTCCCTAATGAGCTGAAAAAAACCTTTTTGGGTCAGCCATAGCAGTTTAATTAACAGTGTTTGACCTTTTCCAAGTGAACCTTGAGGAATCCAGATCGCTAGAACCTAGATCCTCCATCCCTGAAAGTGTTAAAGGCTAGGCTGGGTGGCGTTTGGGGCTGCCTGGGGTAATGGAAGGTGTCTGTGCCCTTGGTAGGGGGGGTTGAAGCTAGATGATCTTTTAAAGTCCCTTCCAAACCAAATTCTGTCATTAGTAGCAAGTAACTGCTTGGCCAGTGGTTGGTATGATGATTACTGGGAGCTCTCCGCTGAGCCATGCAGATAATACATGCCACTGATTTGCTGGGTACATGCAAACTTTGCCTAGCTGAGTTTACAGGACATACCACATGCTACCATGCCCTTCCTATCCCACACATTATGCTTGACATCAGCAGTACTGATAGCAATGCAATGTTAACTGTCCTGTAACTGAAAGGCCTTTGACCTTCCAACCAGAGAGTTCTGCTTTTCTCAGTAGAAAAGTTACATTTCTGTTTCAGGTTTTGTTTTTAATTGCATTGAAACAAGGAAAAATAAGTTTAGTGCATGTATAAAAATTCATTAAGAAAGCCAACTAACAATACTTCATAGTTTCATAGAGAGTGACCTGCTCTGTCTCTCTGCAGAAAAAAATGGAATAGTCTTTAAATTTTAACAGTTACTGTCCTTTAATTGTAAAAGGATGAGTTCCTGCCAATGCTGGACACTGCAAATTTTTTTTCTGACAGCCCGGGTCTGCAAAGAAGGGAGAGGGTCCAACTGTAATTCATTGGCTTAGAATCATAGAATCAGTAAGGTTGGAAAAGACCTCTGAGTTTATTGTGGCCAGCTATTAATTCAGCATTACCATGTTTGTCACTAAACCATGTGCCACAGTAGCTGTGATCCCATGAGATGCTTGAATATCACAAGCATCATACAAGGAGTATCGAGGGAGAAGTGAAAGCTGATGAAGACCCTTTGCCCCAAGGGAGAGAAGAAAACCTCTGTTCCCAGAGATGATCATAGAGACAGATGAAGAGAAGCTTTGCCTTTTAACAACTGATGCTTAAAACAATACACCTTCAGTTCATGGCCCATGAACACACTTCTGAGTGGTGTGAAAATGGGAGGAAAGCATGATGGCAGAGTTTTTTTTCCGGGCAGCTGCCAGGCATGGAAATGAAAAGCCACGAGAAAACTGTTTTCCTTTTGGAGAACTCTCCATGGAATGACAAGAGAAAACTCCTCTCTCTACAGAGACTGATGAAAAGACTATCATGTAGTTAGTACTGCTTTAACATCCCAGATTTTGTCTCTACAGTGTCAGTTTGGAAAGGAAAAAAGTTGGGTGGGGGGAGGAAAAGGTTTCTGGAGGTGTTATTATAACCCCAAAGTTCTGTTAATAAACTTTCTTTATTCCATTTAAGTTTTAAGCCTGTTTTGCACTTCTCCTAATCCGTATCTCACAGCAAGAGTAAGTACTCTGGTGGTTTTTAGCTAGTGCTAAAACCACCAGATTATTTGGTGCGTTGTCTGGGAAATGAAAATTGGCGAATCTAAACTACTACAAAAAGCTTTTTGAATACTCCCAGGGATGGTGATTCCACCACTTTCCTGGACAGCTTGTTGGACCAGTCTCTCAGTGAAGAAATTTTTTCTTATATCACAATTTGAGGCTGTTTCCTCTTGTCCTGTTACTTGGGAGGAGACCAACCTCCACCTCTCTACAGCCTTCTTTCACATAGTTGTCAGTGGACACAGAGGCAAATGCAGGATTGATGACAGACATAGTAGAAGTTCATAGTCCTTCTCCAGTCCTGGATGAAAAACCCTGCTTAGGAGAGGCAACTTTCAACAATGAAAGTGGCTTGTTACCAGTAAGGAAACAAAACCAAGAAAGATCTGATTGGACAAATAAAGGAAAGATTAAGATTCTTCATCTGGACTCCTGGTGACTTTCTAACTCTTAACAAATACTTATGTTCTGTTGAACTAGATAAACCTACTCAAACATTGTATTGATATTTCTGTGACTCATGCTGGATCTTTGTAGTTTGAGTGGTATTGTTAGTATGTAGTTTTCTACTTACTTTATTAAAGGTTGGAAGGTAATGGATGGTGTTTCAAAACTCATATTGTATGCAGAATATCTCATGGAAGTCATTGTATAATTTATTTTAAAATTGATTTTTACAAAATTTTTGAATAGCTAATAAATGTAGCATTTTACTGTTGAAGATGTCACTGGCTCATGAGGATTTGGCTGGTTCTGACAGTTATCTATATTGCCAGATATTTCTTTTTTTCCCTCACAGACCTTAAACAACACACATTCAAGGAGTATCAAGGGTAGCAGTGTGACTTACTCTGAGTTTGAACTTTCCTACTTTCTGGAAGCAGCTCTACAGAGTGCCTATGTGACTCAGTTAAAGAAAGGGTAGGTGGACGCAGATGTTAATAAAATTAGATAATATTGCATGTTCTGTCTCAGATGAAGACTAATTTTTTTTCTTGTGTTCTGACTTTTGGCTGCTGGTTCACCTCAAGTCTCCTCAGTGTCCTTCCCTTTATCCTGTTTGCATCTCTCAGTCTTTCTGAAAAGTCTTAAGCATCATTTTTCCAGACCTATGAGTAGGGTGGGGTAGAACAATATTCTTGTCTTGACTCAGCTTTGCTCCCTATATAGACAAGGGGAGTTTGACTATCAAGAGAGTGGAATTTACAGTGCTGTGCGCCCTTAAAATTTTCAGCCACAGTGCCTGGTTTAGAGTACAATAAAGTCTTACAGGTAGTTTTTTTCATTTATTTACTTGTTTGTCTAAGGTCTTAAATATCCCAATCAGTGCCCCAACTCTGTGTGTTTTCACTATGGAGAATGTATGCGGGAACAGTGCTGCTCCAAGGTATTTATTATACTTCTGAAATACATCTCCCAGTGAACTTCAGAAGTGCAGGAGGAGTTAATATCCATAAGCTCACAGTGAATTTCATGAGCTTACAGTGAAAAACCTTCTCAAGATCAGCAGAAAAGACACTGTGAATATCCACTTCCAAAGGACATTGATGAGGATATGCTGTTCCCTAAACCAGTCTGTGTCTTGAAAACATAATTAACTCTGGTTATCCAATGGAGAGATTTTGTCGTGCAGGAGAGTGTCTCTTCAGCATGTGTAAACAGTACTTGTCAGAATCTGTCCTTTCTTAATCTGCTTCTTGCACCATATTATCTCATTTATTATCAAGGAATCAGATACTGGGTGTCTCACTACAAACTGCCTTCACAAATATTTAATTTTGGCTTTTTTTGCCTTCACCCCCAGTGAAAGACACTTTCTCTCATTTTCTTCACTTCTTTTCCTGCTGAGTAGAATGGAAAAAAAAGCAAAAAAACCAGAGAAGATTGAAAAGAAGAAAGGTAGGGGAAAAAAATGCCAGCAAAAATCAATTTAAATCCTTCTGTAGAAAAATGATAACATTTTTTGATTCTGGTGGAGGAGGAGGGTTACTTCTTGTTTAGGGCTTTTTCACTACCTTTTTATCCCCCAAGGATGACTTTAAGTGCAACTGCGAAGAGCCACTGTTCTCCATGCATGTAGAGCAAAGCTGTACCTGTGAGCATATCCATGAGATGTGCCTTCAGGTAAGCCTTGTTAACCCACAAAGCTCAGATCTTGTAAAATGTCCCCTTTAGTCAGGCAAGTACGAGTTTATGCATAAAGCAAAGTATGATCTTGTAAAGCATAGTCTCAGTATCTGCTTGGTATGTACTTTTCCCAGGTGAGCTGGGGATTAGCCAGCTGTGGCACAGTGTGTGCTTTCCTAACCTTCTGCCCTTCTCATGGTAAACAAAAAGCTCAAGTCTTGACAGTAAGCTCATTAGCTATGTAGTATAATAAAATCCCATTTAGAACATAGGACACTGATGTCCTCCAGGCACCTTTAGAATATCAAACTCATGTTCATTTTATTCAGAACATTGTAAATTCAGTCTTCATCAATTCAAATGGGTTCATTATATCTAGTGGGATACTTTGGCTATTACTGTGGGCCCTGCATGCTCCCTTCCATATTATTTTAATGATAGCCTTAAAAACAAAAAACAAATCCCAGACAAAAACAAAGCACAAAAAACTCTACAGGAAAACAATCTGAAGAAAAATACATGTGTGGATTAAGCCATGGTTTGATTATAAGCTGAATTGTTGCAATAGCAGCAAAAATGTTCTCTATAGCTGTCTCATGATGAAAGAAAGAGCAGTGGAGCTCCTGCAGCCAGAATGGGAGTGGAATCCCACAGGCTCCTTACCTTCTGCAGTGCAAGTGAGAAACATCAACCAGGGTTGGAAGGTCTGCTGGGATAAAAGGAGCCTGGTGGGACATGGCAGCTTGTCTACAGCTGATACTAACGTGTAATTTCTGCCACGAGAGGGCATAAGCAACATTGGGATATATTAAGTAAAAGGGAGGGATATGGGAAGAAGCTTTTTAGGATGCTTCATGAGTATAATAGATTACTCCACCTGATACTGAACAGCTCAAAGAAATGCTTTTGTTCCCCTTATTGCTTCCAGCACGTTCAGGTAGGAAATAAGCCTTGGATGATGACTGCTCAAGATAACAGGGGTAGGTTCTATCAGGTGGGATGTCCTTCCCCAGTGCTACATGTGTACAAAAGGAATAGGGAGTGCTTTATTCTTGTCTCAACAGGCAGAAGAGCTGAGAGATATGAATGCTGTTGTTATGATTTTGTTCCTTGTGGTAGGATCAGATGTGCTGTTCTTGGAGTGTGGTCAGGGATGCTATTTTCCCATGCAGTGGAAAGAAGACTCCAATATAAGAGAGAGGTTCAGTCTCCCCTTCAGGTGTTGAACTGCCAGCTGTAAGGATCAGCAAGTCTTGCAGCTGAAGAAGTCACAGATGCTTTTAATGAGATGACAGATAAAAACATTGTGTCGCTGAATATGCATTTCCTGCAGTTTGTCATGCTGTAACCCAAGAAAGCTTTATTTTGGTCCTCCAGTGACGAATGTTGATGCTGCGGATACAGAAGATAGGAAGGCAGATGATGCCTCTAGGAGGCAGCCATTTGTCTTCATGTTATCATCTGCACTGGATTTTGGTTGGTTTGTTTGTTTTGTTTTCTTTTCTGGCGCAGATGTATGAATATTAGACTAATTTCTTACTGCCTTTTCTTGTGTCTGCGTGAGCATATTTAAGGGGAGGGGTATGGTTTGCTGAAAACCTGGGTGAGGCGCAGAGATGCAGAAGGAGGTGGGCAGATGCAGTGGTGCTGCTGCTGCGTTTTGGGTACTGCTTTACTCTGGAGAGGCAGTGATGCAAACAGCTATGCAATTATCTCAAGATGGTCTGTTCTTTATGTCAGCAACTGTTTGTTTTAGCAGTAAATGAGTGGGGATAAAAACATGATCTGCTGGTGATCATGTTGTTGGGGAACTGTCTTTGCAGACCTCTGTGTCCACAGTCCACTCCTTTATTGTCAGTATTTTTCCCAACAATTTGCATAGAGAACAGTGTTCTTCTTTGTTTTCTTGTGTCTTAAAATTTTATGTAGTGTTAACCAAACTATATGACATAACTCTGATATGACTGCTTTGATTTATGGACTGGTAATTAATCTGTATTAACAGGGTACATGCACAAAACATATTTTTATGCCAGTCTGGACTGACTGGACTCTAAAGTTGTTCCTTGTCACAGTTTGTGCCCATGATTGTCAGTGTTCATCTTTATTAGATTAGATGTAACTGAACCCTAAACTGCTCTTCATCATGTTTTTTTTTTCCATGGTGCTCTGACCACTCCTGTGCCTAAAACTAAAACCAAGGCAGTTTAATGATCATGTCCTTTTCCTTTCCTGTTTTTCCTCATTTCTTTTTCTGTCCTCTTAGCAATAGGGGGCCTATGGACTCTTACAACTTATTTCATTTCCATGATCTAATGTTCACTTATGATGCCATGGGTTAAGGCAGCATTACCTGGGATTTCCAGGTAGTCCTCTATCCAAGTCCTGCAGAGGTTCAAGATTGTTCAGTTTCTAATCTAAGTAAGATCAAGTGTTTTCACCATGGAATGCCAGAGGCTTTATGTCTGTGTCCTCATCCAGTCACCTACATAGCATATATTTCTGTTCCAAATACATACTTCTCTTTTTATTAACTTCTTAAGGTCCTAATTAAATAAAACCCCTTCAAGTGCACATTTAGTATATAAAGGGCATATATTAATGGAACAGTGAGTTCCTTATTGTTATGAGCAGAGCAGTTCATATGCTCAAAATGAAATGTGCTTGGATGGTCTCCTGGCTTGGAACAGTAGAGTGGAAAGACAAATTCCTGTGTTTGCAGAATGCTGGCAGGTGTGCCCTGTCTCCTGTCACGGCTCAGTAATGTTTGATAAAGTCAGAATAAAAAAGCTGCCAAACCACATCCTCAGGCTTGTAAAATTGGTATTGTTGAGAGCTCAGGGGATGGAGTGGGTGCTCTTTGATAGATCCTGACCACACAAGCACCTGTCTGGGAGGTAGTGAGTGCTGGGTGCTCCTCCTGTGCTGCCCATTTTGCACTCCTACCATCTGTTAAAGGTGTTCCAAAGTATTTGTCGTGTACTGCATGGTTCCAGCCCTGACTACTGACAGATGGGCAGCAATTTGCCATTTATTCTTTCATTCACTTCAGTGTGTCTGTTCCTTGTATTTCTTCTCCCCTTCCCCCCACCCCAGAGCAAGGTGTTTCTGCCAGGAAGCTTAACTTCTTTTATGGCCTTGTCTAAAATGTTGAACTGTAATGGTGCTTTAGTTTTCTAGGAACAAAACTGTCTCCTTTTATCACATGCTGTAGGTTTTTCTTCTTGTAAGTAAGTGCCAAATGTTGCAAGTGATCATTAGTCTTTTTTCTGATGTTGGTTAATGCAATTCATTGGCACTTTATTAAGACAAATATAATTATGTTAACAAGAAACCTAAATAAATGCATTTTTGAAAATGCTGTAGAACTGTTATACTCCATAACTGTTCTGTCTAGCCTCCTAAGGAGCCCATGGAAGAACAGCAAATGCTGGTAGTTTTCAGTAATCAAGAAGAGCAGCTGGACAGCTGAATTTTGTTTTGATGGGGGAATTTATTTTTTCTATCTGATAGTAAATACCACGTAAACAGTTCTGTTCGATTTGGTCACTTCTTGTGTGTAAGGTCCAGAACTGCATCTTTGTGGGTATATTCTATTCTAGACCAACTAAAAAGTACCTGGTGTCTTGGTCCTGTCATTGGAGTGTTTGCTGAAGTATTTAAGTCCAACTAAAAAAAACTTTTTTGAGCTTTTGTCTTGATAAAATCAAAGCACATTTTTTACTTGGGAGAAAGTGGAAAGAAAAAAGATAACATTTTCTCTACAAGTCTTCAGTTTAATTGATCTTGTCCTTACTTTCTTGCTCTTCTGTACATTGCCCATGATTAGACAGTCTGCAGATTACCTCACAGTTTGAAACTGAGATGGATATTGCTTGTAAGTAAGGCCATATGCATTTGCATTCTGTGATATGGTGACTACAAGCTTTAGGGTGGCATTTTATGTAGCCAGTATTCATGGTAAACATGATTACATTTTTATCTCTGCACCCCCAAAATAATCACCTTTTTTTTATTGTCATCAAATGTTTGCTGTTGATTCTGGAGTGCAAGAAGGTTTGCAGTGCATGAAAGCAGGTACAAGTGTGGTCTGTACTGCTTACCTTCAAAATTTAATCAGTTTGACAGAAAAGGTTTATATGGCTTTGTTTTTTTAAATAAAATTTTGTTTTCATCTGCACAGAAAATTTTCTTGGATAAGCTGAAGTGACAGTTAACGTACCAGTACAACTGCTTATTTTGTTGTCTTGTACATTACTTTTCTGATAGCTTGTATTTCTTTGGGTATCTTTGACCCTGCAATGAATGTGTATTGAATCATTTTGCAATTACTGTTCTGGTGGGCCATGTCCTCAGCTTTGAACAGCTGATAGGCTACCAGTGTGTTAACTGATAAGTCCAGTGTTTAATCTTTCCTCTCTGCATCTCTGAGTGCACAGCACAACTAAGATAGCATTTGGCAACTAGTCTGCTTTAATTGCTTGTGGTGTATGCAGACTAATGTGATTTTTTTTAATTTATTTTTTTTAGTCTTACCCTCTTATTGCAGGTTAAGCTGTGCTTGCAGATAGTTACTTAAACTTAGCTGTCTGATAATAAACTGTTTAGACCACTGTAATTTTCGTCATGTGCCTGGAGCATCAGACACAAGCGTTTAAGCATCAGCTAAAAGAAATTGTCATTTAAAAGCATCATGTAAGCTCAGTATAATTCAAACAAGTACAATCTGTGTGTATGAAGAGGAGATGTGGATGCTTTTAAGGAGCAGCATCTGCTTAATATGAGCAATGAAAGGCCTCCAAATGTCCCCTGTGTTCATCAAATGGGAGTGTGATCTTTTCTTAGGAAGCCATCTGGAGTAGGCAGTGGTATAGTCGCTGACTTTCTCTGGCCCATTGCCCTGTCTATGCCTCAGAGTGACTTGTCTTGCTACTGCACACTCAGTGTTAGTGATTCTTTCCTGGGTTGTTTGAACTTCAGGTGTGTTGCTGAGCTTTGGGACATCATAAAAATATTCTGTCTTCATTGTGCTGATTTGGGGGGGGGTTAAATATTAATTTTTTCGGTCTTCCCCATAGAAATATTGTGAAAGGAATGAGGCGTCTGCGAGAAATACTACGGACTGTAGAAACAAAAGCTACTCAGACCTTCAAAATGGTAAGGGAATAGGAGGTGGGAGGGTGGGACAGTCTGGTATGCAGGAATTCTCTTGACTGACCAGTGCTGTAGCACAAAAGTGTATTTGTCCTCAATTGTTGATTGCTGGCTTTTTCTTTCTTTCCTTTTTTTTTCCTTTTAGAAGTGATCCCCTTAATTCAAAGACCCGCCCAACTGAAACCTCCAAGCTTTCAGACCTGGGCATGTAGGTTACTTTTGTTGGGTTTGTGTTTTGTTTTTTGTTTGTTTGATTGTTTTGTTTTCTTGATTACAGTGCATAGTCTAGCCCTGGTAGAAACAGAGATGTTTTTGGTTTGACAGTGCTGTCCTCAGGTGACAGTGTCTTGTTTTCTTTCTCAGTTTCATTGTGCATGCACACCTTTCTGCATTTGCATGTAGAAGCATTAAGTACTTCTGTCTCTTGCAACAAGCAGTGCTTTTTTAGACTGACATCTTTCAGTGTTCCTTCTGTGAAACCCTCTTCAATGCAGTACAGAGTGATTTTAATTGTTTTAAATTTTTTTTTTGGTGTTGTCATTTTACATCTTTGCATTCTTTTATCCTGAATGTCTCAGGCAAAGAAATATTTATGTGCCTGTTTAACTTCTTAGACCTTTAACTGGTTCTTCCCTGTCTCCCCTTGGAGAGATCTTGTCCTGAAGTTACTCAGGAGGTGACAAGGTCAGCAGCTTGCAGAATAACAGTCTTGGGAATGAAAGCTTTGCAGCCAGCCCTAAAAGCATTGGTACTCTTTAAGCTAAGCTTGTACTTGATTCTACTTTGTCTTTTGTGTCATTCCAGAGAAGTTGGACAGGAGAGGTGGGAATGGGCTTGCGTAGTGTTTTGGATGATGCAGATGCATGTGGAAGCTTGTGCAGCAGGTTAGAAGAGGTGACTTAAATAATTGTCTGCTCAAATGTCTGCATCCTTTTCCAAGCTGAGATCAGGGTTCAGCAGTATTTTTGTACTCACCTGTTTTATCATTTTGCTGAAATGAGTCCAACCATCTACTGCTCCTAGACTGTGACAGCATGTGGCTCAATTTCTCCTGTCCCTGTGCAACTGGGGATAGCTGTACAAAACCCCTGGGGGATTTATCCCTTAGGGGAACTCTCGAGATGTTCACTCAATAGCTTTTCCTAGGATTTAGCAGTTGCATTTTCATTTTATTGCTTATTTTTAAAGAGCTGTCAAGAAGGCAAGGGGAGGAATGTGCATAATTAAACAAGTTTTTCAAGCATGAAAGTAAAACACATGATTTTTTTTTCCCCCCTGATTTGTGGGATCACGGTGTTCTTCAAGCATAATGACCCTTTTTTTAGCCAAAGGCAGTAATAACATAAATCAGAGTTTTGGCCAGTTCTGGTTTGTTTGGTCTTATTCAAAACAAGACTGAAGCTAGTTTACACAGCTACTGTACTGTGTGTTAAAATTAAAAACACTAAAAGTATTTGTTGCTTGCCTTCTGAATAGCTTACCACAAACTGTACTCCTACTTCTGTGTGAACCAGTAAAGATCTTTGTGTTGCTGGCAAATTATTTTCCCTCTCCTCTAAGACTGTAGGAAAAAAATATAGGAGAGTTGACTCCTCAGGGTAAAACTGACTAAATAATTACACATTGAGATGATAAAATGATACTGGCTAATGTTGCAGGGCCTTAGGCCATTTTGCTCATAGTTACTTGCTATAAAAAGCACAGAAAAACTTAGTTAGAAACAGATGGCTTTCTGTAACTTGTCAGTAGCAGGGCATGGAAGGTCTTGGGGTCCAGATCACTGCCATCTATGAAGCCTCCCTTTATAATGTTTAAGAGGTGGTGCATGCTACTGTGGTTGCATTTTAAACTAATTCAGTGTATTAATGTGTGGTGAGGTGGATGAAAATCAAGAGCCTTGCATCAAAACAAGTTATTTTTCTGAAATTGATAATAGGAACTTCAGTGTGCGTTATTTGATCCCATAGATGTTGAGGTATGACATCTATAACATTCCTGTCCTGGTATTTAAAAGAAAATTACTCTTGGTATGCTCATAACACATCTCAAAGTGTAATTTTCATATAAAATACATATCCAGTAGTCAGAGAAGTTGCAAAATACTATTTGCAAGTATTAGGACAGAAGGGCTGAAGTTTCAGCCTGCCCTCTGTTTTGTGCAGTATTTACTTTACATCATAGAGTGGTGTGCTGCTTAGAATTCACAGAAGACACCACCCATTTTGTTGTCTCTGAGCTTGTTCACAGGCTCATCTATTTACAGTGCAAGAAATTAGATATTTGATGGGTATCAGACAAGGGTAAATGCCAAAGATAGTTTTGCTAAGTGAAATTAACTTGCCTCCTTTTGGGCCCAGCTTGCCAGCTGTGCATATGAAGTAGAAAGCAACTATTTAAGGATCTTCGGCTGCTTGATGGTAAAAAAAGTACATGTGATGTTGCTGTCTCACTATAAAGCTCCTAAGCATCTCCTCTTCTGCCTCCTTTACTGCAACAGGAAGAGAGAGGCAGTACCAAGATGAAACTATAAGAGTCTACAAGAGAGGGTGATACGAGCAGATACAAGGTTGATCTTTTAAACCTAACACAAAAGCCGCCTCTGGTCCTGAGACTTGCATACAAAATTCTGAGGCTGAGAACACAATGTAGTGTCATCATACTCCTATATAGTAACTATTGTGAGATGGTCTCAGCAGCCCATGTGGCAGTCAGTTGTTCTTGTTCACCAAAGCATCCCTTGCTGTCAGGCCTTTTTGGTAATTTTTTCCTAGAGCATTGCAACAAGGCCATGTAAATGCAGAAGTTTAGTCTTTTCTCAGGAGGGAAGAAACTCACACTTTTGTAGACCTTAGCAGCTGATTTTGCTACTCTGTCATTCTGAAAAGTGGTACTGTCATACATCTCCTTCCCAAGGTGGAACATGGTGAATCTTTTGTGTTGGAGAAGACTTCACTGATATATGTATTTTTCTGTACTGATCTCTAGACTGCAGCCAAACAGTTAGCCCAGGTACTTCTCCATTCCCTCAGTGAAGACTGTTACTGGAGCCCTTTATCTGATCCACTTCCTGAGTTCATGAACAAGGAATATCAGTCTTATGTTAGCCATCTTCTTTGTCGGAGACCTGAGGTGTACTCAGAAGAGAAGTAAGTGTTCATATTTATTTCAGTTTATTGGAAGGAGGAAGGAATGTATTTAAACACTCTTTGGTACTGCTGATTATGTCACTGATTCATGTAGTAGTTTTGTGCCTTGTTTTTCAACAAAAAGTGCTGGAAAAATAAAACACTAAACTTTGAGTGATTTCCCCCCCCCAGGAAGAAGAAAGTCCAACCAAAGGGCTGTCTTTGCTTTGAAACTGAAATAATCTATTTAGGGTTTAGTATATCTCATCTAAGATATATTGCAGAGCTTTTAATTGTGTGGACCTGCAAAGAAAGTATTGCCTAGCAAATTAATCATGCATGAAATGTTTCAAGTTACCGCATCTCTTGTGAAATGTCAGCCTCTTGGCTGACAGGATAACTCTTGACCTTCCTCAGAAACATGTATTCTGTCTTTCAGTGTGTACTGCCCTCAAGACAACGTAGAAGAGGCTCTTCTCCTCCTCTTAATCAGTGAATCCATGGTAAGTCAAAAATGAGTTTGTAGTATTAATAGTGCAAAGGGATATATAGCATTTCCATGTCTCCTGGTGGGTTTTGTTTACAAAAACTTCCCTAGATAAGCAGAAGCAAGAGTTCAGATGCTGGGTGGAAAATGCTATCTGTTGTTTTATTAGTGACACTACTTTTGTTAAGTGGAATGTCAGTGAAGAGTTTTGGGAATTGTCAAGAGAGAAATTGGCTGCATTCACAATAGCTGTATGCAGGTTCTGATGTCCAGATACATTGTCTGTAGACAGATGTTTCCATTCAAAACATTTGTGTTGATTTATGGATCAAGAATGAGAGGAAGAGAGCCTTGCCTAAAACCAGGCATGATGGTGGTACCTGCTGTTTGGAATTGCAGGATGCAGTACTCTGCTTTCATGCCTTAGTTTGCAGTCTGGAGGGATCTTGGACAGTTTCTGGTGCAGTGATAGAGGGAATCTTGTGACATGCAGATACATTCATTATAAGCTACAGTGAAATAATTAGATTTCTTCTATTGTAACAATGGTGGCTTTAAAAAATCCATTTAAGAGGCAGGCAGAAAATTGGAGTAAAAAATAACTGCATGGTAACTTTTGGTAATTTTCATGTTCTGAGAAGATGCAAGTGTACAGAAAATGTGTAAGAAATGTTTTCTGAAAATGTGTAAGTTACGTGTATTTTGCTTTAAATACAGGGTGGTCACTTGTACCTCAAAGTGAGATTCAAAACCTTGGAACATCAACAACCTTCTTAGAAACTTTTTAATAACTTTCAGACAAAGTGGAAAGAGATACTCTGGAAAACTTGGGTTTTGGTTCCTTAACATTTTCCTGTCTGGTTCTTCTGCTTCAAGTTCTTTCCCACAAACTTCTTCAGAACAGGGCAATTTAATATTGTCTCCTTTTAAAATTCAGGGAAAAATTGAAGAGGTGGAACCACCCCAAAATATTAAATTGGCTTCAAAATCATGTACATCTGAGTATTGCTATGTGTTTTTCAGTGCTATCTAGATTAAACCTCTGCAGCACATCTACTTTGTGTTTTCAAGGGCTGTTCTTGAGTTAGAAGGGCCTTTCATAATTAGAAGTGGAGTCTGCAGGAGTGAGGGCTTGTAGGATATCATGTGCACTTGTATTAAAAGTACTCATGTCAGTGGGACTTGTCGGGGCTGATCCAAGCAGGAGGAGGATCAGGGTCTGGAGCAGTGACCGAACTGGCTTCTCCAGTCTTTCTGGACTTGCAGTTGGAGAGGCCATGTGGGACCTCAAACTCCACAGTCTTGTTCTGCTGAGGAGGTGAAAGTTATCTCTATCTAATAGCATGTAAAATGGTGAACTAACTGGTCCTGTAGCTAAGTTATGGATGAAGTAGTCTGAAAATGCTATTGATAGAAATGGGACTGCTGTGCTGGGTTCCAGATTAAATGTGTTTAAATGCTGCTTCTGATATCTAGGAATTTCCTGGAGGAAGATGCAAGGCACTTTCATCTGCTGCATATAAAACAAACAAAAGAAGATCCTGTAGCAGAGTACTGTAGGAGCCATGTAACTGTATTTCTGATTTTGGGGAAATGGAACATCTGAGCCTTCATCTTGCATCAGCCTTGTCACGAGTTTGTTCTAACTAAAATTCAGGACAAATGTATAGAAATACACCTAGGAACCACATGAATGTTCTTCCTAAGTGAAGGAACAGAGGGAGTAATCTAACTCTTACATATGTTTGTAATCCGTAAGTACTTTCCTGTACATTTTTATTATGGTACTTAGAAGGGGAAATTTTGTTTAACTTATGATATGTTTTCCATAACAGTATTGCTGTAGGCTAGTGAGTTTTCTCATGTACAGGTTTGTTTTTTGTTTGAAGTTTTGTTTTTTGGCTTTGTGTAATTTTTTTTTCCTATAAAAAAAAAATTTATAAAAACTCATGAAATGAGTTAACAGGAAGTGTATTTCCAATTGAGGTCTCTCCCTAATGATACAATGTTAACAACTGAATAAAACATACTTTACTTCCTGGACAGAATGTCAGTGGCAAGTAATAATGATATGTTTCTGGAGGCCAGTAAGCAACGTAGTTGGTGTTCCTGGATTTTGACTGGATTAGCTGTTCTTCCAGTATTTACAATTGTGAACCCTTAAAATGAAACAGAAGTATGCAATTACATTGGCTTCTCTGACACTTTGGTCTGTCAGAGCAAAGCTGACCAGAAAGGTACTTCTCTCTGATTTTTAAAGAGACAAAGAGCAGTCACGCCATTGTAACTCTCTTGTAGGACTGTAAAGCCAAACAGCTTCTTCACATACCTGTTCCTGATTCCTACCACTCCCAAAAGACCTTGAAGGGGGACAGAATTAGGTGAAGGAGGAACAGAAAAGATTTTCAGCCTGTGGAGGGGACACAGAGCAAAGATATATTGGGGAGGACCATAAATCATCAGAGAACCTCAAAGTAAATATGTGCTGAAAAGGAGACATGGTACTTTTTCAAGAAGTATACACCTGGAACACCTTTGCTGCTGAAATTCACTCTGTTTTTATGTTTGACTTGCCTTCCTAAGGTGAAGCTGACATCTATTTTTCCAGGATCTGTGTGATCTGAAGATGTTATGGGGGAGTAGAAGTGTTCCTGTAAAGGGGAAAGCATGAAATTACCTTGAGGTTCTTGAGAGACGGAGCCTATTTCTCGTGAAACCTTCACTGGCTCTTAATGGTGGAGGGCTCTGTCTTGTGATTACTTATCCCTTTCCCTTGCATTAAAAGGGAGCTAGTTTGCATATTCTGGTGGGATGAAATAAGAATATATTCAAAAGGGGCAGTTAGTGGTTCATTCAGTATTTCACTCTCCCTTTGAGCCTAAGTATGTAAAAGGTTTTCAAATGGCCAAATAACATGGTACCCTCTTTCATGGCTCTGAAGATGCTTCTGTGGATGTCTTAACACTTACAGTGAAAGCCTGTAGCCTGCTTTGCTCTGGCATTCTCACGAATTGCCTCCTGTGTTCTCTGTCCGGTTAAAAAGGGAAAGCTATTTTCATAAGCTGAGGTATCTCAGTAAACAATGAAAAGAATCCTCATTGTTGAGCTTGGCAAATGTTCCTTCTCTGTCCCAGCTGTGTTTAGTCACAGCCTTTGCTCTCATGAGGGAATCTAGTGAAACAAATCAGGCAGCCTGAAGATTGCCACAGTCAAGCCTGTCTTTATGAGCGTTTGTGACCTCCTGGCTACTCTGTCATTCCTTGTGTAGCCTAAGTTATGGTATGGATGGGCTGTGTTTCTGAGAGGACAAAAGTGCTCTCCTTCAGACCAAGAAGGCCAGCTGGTGACAGCCTGTACAAGCTCAGGCTGTGGCAGAATAATATGTTCCTATCACATGTTGGAGAAACATGGTCTTGCCTGTTTTTAAGCCACTAGTCCTCTCTCTTACTGCATTTAACCCATCTAAACCAGTGACACTGTGAGGAGAACTGAGGACATATTGTGATTTGTTGCAGTGTGGTTTTTCTGCTTCACCTACCAATGGGAACAGGACTGGTTCTGCCATCAGGGACTTTGGTGCTTTGACCTGTAGGGTGTAGGCAGAGGAGGTTTGGCATGACTAACCCTTGGCTGCGGTTTTGTTTACTTTAATAGTTATTCTTAAGAGTATTCAGTTGACTGCACTGCCCATAAAGTTAGCCAGAAGCTTCTCAAAGCCAGGAATGGAGCATTTAGTATTATTTTTTGTGCTTACTTTTGAGGTTAAAACAAAAAAAAGACGAAGTTATTTGCTTGCATTTAGAAACCTTCCCTTCTTGAATCTAAGGTCTGACATACAGTCTGAAATGCCTTTATTCTGTGCTGGCAATGCTGGCTCTTTACAATTTGGGATTTTGGCTGATGTGATTCACTAAACATGCCATGTAACATGGTTTATTTTTTTAGGCTCTGTATTCACTCATACTGGAAATGAAGCTCCTTGTATGCAAAACTAAAAAATTCTGTGCCTGTGTAACAAAGATTAGAAATGTCATCCCCATCTTATCTCTGATTTGAATCCCTAAAAGGCAGTTTGACCTTGGAGGGCCTGAGAGCATGGAACAGATGGTGAAGGGGAAGGAAGATACTGGGACTTGTTCTGTTCTTTTTACTGGTGAGAACAAACTCATGGCTCTGAGCATGCCTTTACCAGAATAACGTTAAATCCATGTATTTTTAAACTCAGAAATAAAAAAACTTGTTAGCCCTTCAGTTCCTAGTTTTATAAAATAATGCTGTCCAACAAATGGGTTGGTGAAGAGGAATCTCTTGTTGCTTTTATAGGTCGGTTTCTCCTTTTTTCCCTTTTTTTTTTTTTAAATGGCACCAAGCCCATGATGATACAACAGCTGGATGACCATCATGACTGTTTACTGAGGGCCATTATATGGCAGCTGAAAGAGACAACTGAGGACAGGGTTGCTTGCTCTGCTGGTTCCTGCCAAATCACAGTTGTGCACCTACAGTAGCAAATATGGCTGTCTCTTACTGGTTTGCAAGACACTACTGTGTGTTTGGGACCTGCAAAGATGGTCTGCAGGATGCTTCTAGTGGGAAGTACACTACCTCTACTTATTACGTCTTGAGTAAATGGTTCTAATGTGAGTTTCTGGAGAACAGAGTATGAGAGATTTTTTTCTTCTGCTTTGCAGTAATAAGTCTTGTTTCCAAACTTGCAAGGAAGATAGAAATTCTTGGAAGATTGCTTTCTTAATCCAGATAACTGTTAGCAAATGGATGACTTTGTTACCCAAGATAATATCCATAAACAAACTTGATTGCTTTCTGCTTCTCTGTCTTCCTTTTGTGTGCGGTTTTTTGGCTGTTTTGGATGGGTGCGTATGTTGGTCTTGCTTTCAGTGGTGTTTCCAGAATTAGTTCTGCTACAGTACAAGGTTTTAGAATGCACCTGAAACATGTAAGATATATCTGTGTGGTCATATTTTGTTGCCGCTGAATACGAATAGATCACATGGA